AAGAAAAAAACAAGTTCAATAGATACACACATTAAGAACAATTTTGGATTTACTTAACCCAAGATGTTTCAGTCTTCAGGTGTCTGTCTGGTAAACAGGTCAAATACATGAAAAGTTAAATGTACTTTTTTATATTAACATACCTGACTATATGTTCCCTGGTAGAATACAGGATGCGATCGACCATATTTCTCCTCAAAACTATGAATAAAGGACATGACATCTCCAACAGGATCTGTGACACGACCCCTTGGATCCGGTCGAATGAATCTCAGGGTGAATCTGAAGAATTTGAGAGAAGAAGAAAAAACCTCAATAGAAATACTAGTTACTACTGTAGTGTGAAATATTACAAGTCTATATTAGATGAACTGCTTTAATACCTGAATATGTCCAGAAGTGTATAATACGTAAACCTGAAGGGAAGCATTATCAAGTAGTAACTCCAACCTAATAAGCCCTGTAAAAGAGAAAAATATATTGATATAAGCAGCTTATTTAATATTTATAGAGGGCCATGTTGCAATGTCATAGTGCTGCAATTTTAATAGGGAATTACCCTAAACTGTCTGCATGTCACACCAGTTGAAACCAGAATCTTTCCTTGGCATTTTAGTATTTACCACAGCTAGATATAAATGTTTATTGAAAACACTAGAACAAAGAAATGAGCACTGAGAATGAAGGAAAAAACAGAACACATAACATAAACACCAAAAGACCTTCTTACTCTAGGCTGTGGCCTTGAGACAATATAGCTATACACTCTGTGGTCTGTTGTGTTGACCTGTAACGGTCTGGCGGGCGGCGGGTTGAAGACACTCGGAACTCCTTCTTGCTCATTTAGTCTGTCTTGTACTGCGGCCTGTAAAAAAGATTCCCATTAATTCCAATAATTATAATAAGTTCCCAATACAAAAGAATGAATCCATTCATTTGATTTACCAGCTCTCACCTCAATGTTCCAATTGTGTTGTTCTAATGTGCGCCGACACTGGTCCATTGACTCCAAGCCTGTCAGGTCCTGAATAATAAGGACAGATCTTACATTATTTACAAACAAAAGAAAAGCGCTGAAATGTTTCGATGTCATAAGTTAAAATGTTGCATGACAGATGTTTATAAATGTTATATGTTTATAAAATATGACAAGTTTTGATAAGGAATGAAACATTTGGGTGGCAGTGCGTTTATAAAATTTTAGATTAAGTGAGTGTTTTCAAGATCAGTCATCATTCAAGACCATATTTTTCTTTTATATTGCTCCATGACTCCGGAGTAGATGAGGAACAAGTAATCTTCTCCAATGATTGTTGCAAACAGTTTAAAACAAGACAAACAAAAAAAAACTAAATGTACCAAGTTAAAAGTATTGCCAGGTAGACTGGAGGCAGATTAGCACTGTCTCTCAAAACCTAGTATAAGGTCTATCTAAATGGCATTTTACGTACCGTTCCAGACGACTGGTTGTTCCACATATGGCCGTCAAAAACCTAGAATGCTGCCTAACTAGAGAGCACTTAGAGCATCATAGGCGCACTTTACTTTGACCAAATCTGCTGTCTAGGTAGGCAGCTCTCTAGGTTTTGTGACACAACCACTGTCTCGCTGCATAACTGACAGCTGCCATTTCAACTAAAACAAAAGACACTTGTATACAGGAGAAAGTCTTTATACGGACATAGAACAAAAGGATATTTTTCAGATTAAGTCTGCATTTATTAGATAAACTACAGCTGGTTTTGGTTGAGTAAAAACTAACGCTCTTTACGGCAGTTAGCTCGCTGACTGGTCGTTTATACTTACAGCAGCTGAGCTGGACACCGCGAACACTATTTTTTCTGATAATTGAGTCTATAAAAGATCCAAACAGTATGTGTTAACCAGACAATCTAGTTGGTACCTGAAACTGAAGGAGTTTTTCAGTTTGAGCCTGAGATAATTCCTGTTCTTCTGGCGCCGCCATCTTACCTCGCCGAGCCCTAACAAAACGCGATGACGTTTAAAGCGTGCTGACGTGACCAATACGTTCGACGTTGAACGAACGCTTCTTTCTTTTTTTGCGCCGCCTGCTGCGCAGGAGTTGTATGGCGCATGTTTTACCTTCATTTGTTTTTAGTTACAAATACAAATATTAATTTATAATATAAATAAACAATAAACAGCGTTCTTGTCATTTTAATTGAACATTAAGTGCAGCTAGTAACCACAATTGATTAGATAGATTATGTATATGTTATACAATCATATTGCGGGGAAAACACATTATTAAGTGTGTTATTAGAAAAACATATGTTACAAGAAAGCGTCTAAAATTAAAACATATAAAGACCAGTTATGTAATGTGATGTACAGCTGAACGTAATTGTTAATCTAAGTAAGAATGAAATCAAGAGTATTATTAAGAAAAGACTGAAGGAACGGTGGCAAAAACAATGGGATAAGGAGAAAAAAGGCCGGTGGTTTTACAGAATTCAAAGGAAAGTGGGAGAGATGAGAAGTGCAGGGAAAACAGGAGAGATGAGATAGTAATATCGAGGATGAGATTTGGACACACAAGATTAAATAGTACACTTTTTAAAATGGGTAAACATGATACGGGAAGGTGTGAATTTTGTGGACAAGAAGAAACAGTGGAACATGTTATATTGTACTGTCAGAAATATGAGACTGAAAGAAGGATTCTAATGCAAAATTTAGAAAAAATTAAAAATGCAATTTACACCGAGATATATTTTACAAAATAACTCAAGGACTGAATGCTATAGTTTTATTTTTCAGTTCCTTAAAATAACTAATTTGTGGGAGAGAATTTACAAAATAAAAAAAGGAGGAAGGAAGTCACTTTTTTGATCCCCACTCCATTCCAGTTGTATTTTTTTTTTTTTTTAATTTTATGATTTATTTATTTATTAAAAAAAAAGATGTTTAACTTTTTATGTATTTGTTTTTGTTCTGTTTATATTTAATTTTTATTATTCTTTATGTATTTATTGTTTTGTATTCTGGTTGTGTATGTATTTTATTGCTATGACTGTATCCTACGGTGACTGAGAAGTGCAAAACAAATCACAATTCTGAAAACAAAATAACAAATTACAAATGCAAATGCAAGTCTAAAAAACAAAATAACAATTCAGAAAGCACAACGACAAATCCGAAAACAAATGAACAAGTCAGAAAACACAACGACAAATCAGACAAACCGGAAGAGGTAGGTATAGTTTGAGACAGCGTCATTGGTTTGGGATTACTCGCCGCTGAATGGACGAGACATCTGTCAATCAACGTATACAGGAAGAACCAGCCGAAGAACAGCAGAGTCGTGGTAGAAAGTTCGGAAATGGTATTAAAGTAGCTCAGTTTAAATGTATTGTATGAAATGCCCTTACTATGGAATAAAACATATGGGATGTCTATTTACATTTAGTTAAAAGTGGCTGTGACTCATCAGCTCCAGTGGTGCAGATGGATAAGCGTTTGTTGTTGGCTTTTTGACGTGATCGGACAGGGTTCGATATCACCTTTTGTCGAACCTTTTTTTTCTCCCTTTTCAAATCTCATCACATCGTGAAGGCATTTATTTTCAATAAAAATTAAGGAAATAATCAAAAAGTTGAAAATAAAGTATCGGGTAGGGTTAGGGTAGGTGTAGGGAGGGCTTTATTGTACCAATAAGGTGGCATCCATTTAATAATTCATATTGCTAAAAATACTGCTATTTTCACTTAGTGTAAATAGAATCCATTGCTAATACGAGATTTGAAAAGGGAGGAAAATAAAGTTCGGCAAAAAACGGGATCAAACCCGGGTCGATCACGTCAAAAAGCCAACGACACATGCTTATCCATCTCATAGACTGTATAAAAACATGGACGTAGTGTCCATGACGTAACCCGTAGACTTCCGACGAGCATTTTGAAGCCTAAAGTAGGCGGAGCCAGCCGTCGCCATCTTGGCAGCGCGTCACCGCGCGTCACTCTCGGATAATCAAAAATGGGCAAAGAGGTAGGAGCTGGCTGCTGAAACCATGACCACCTAGCTCGACGGTGGTGACAGCAGCGGCAATACACCTGTCACTCAAGTGGCCACACCCTTAATTATGCAGAACTTTAAGGCTTAATATAATTTAAATGGATCAGTTATAAAAAAATCACCCCCCCCTCGCAGTTGTCATGAAGGGCAAAATTAGCTATATAGACCAAATAATTTTTTGAACCAGGCTGTAAACATGTTTTTTCTGCTGTAAAGTTGGGCATTTTAACATGGGGAGTCTATGGGATTGACTTCCTTTTGCCGCCAGCCACTAGCGGCCAATCGATGAATTACAGTTTAAGTCACTTCCTTGTTGTCATCACGAGAGAGAGGGAGGTTGCCGCTCGATCCATCTGTGCCACTGGAACTGATGATTTATAGCCACTTTTAGCTAAATGTAAATAGACACCCCGGATTTTTTATTCCATATTAAGGGCAATTCATACAATACATTTAAACTGAGCTACTTTAAAACCATCTTCGAACTTTCTACCACGACTCTGCTGTTCTTCGGCTGGTTCTTCCTGTATACGTTGATTACCAGCTGTCTCGTCCAGTCAGCGGTGAGTAATCCCAAACCAATGGCGCGGTCTCAAACTATACCTACCTCTTCCGGTTTGTCTGATTTGTCGTTGTGTTTTCTGACTTGTTCATTTGTTTTCGGATTTGTCGTTGTGTTTTCTGACTTGTTATAATGTTTTCTGAATTGTTGTTGTGTTTTCTGAATTGTTATTTTGTTTTTTAGACTTGCATTTGTGTTTGTAATTTGTTATTTTGTTTTATGAATTGTGATTTGTTTAGCACTTCTCGGTCACCGTAGTATCCCCTGTGAATGTAATATCTTCACTTAAAAAAAAAAATACCAGTATCTCCATACCAGTTGGTGGCGGAAATACACCATTTTGTTGTTTGTCAACCGCCAATAAAATTTCAAGAAGAAGAAGACAGCTGTACAGCTGGCGGAAATGCCCTGTTCTCTCTGTTTATTCCACTTCCTGTTAACTGAAGTTCTAATTAAGCATGGCAACTGCAATGACCCCGGTTGGCCAAGATCAACCGACCAAAGCAGATCCTCCACCCGTCGTGTTTGATTTGTCTCAGCCTCCAGTTATCGAGGGATTCACCCCGCTGCCCAGAGCGAAGGAGGAGAATTTTAAAGACAAATTCATCAGAAAGACCAAAGAGAATCCATTCGTCCCTATAGGTGAGTTACGTAAAACAGTAAACAGTGACTTGCGTAAGTTGCAAAAGATAATTAAGTTCTATGATTTACCAAAATGCAGCTTCATATGATTTTGGTTGCCAACAATTAAACGCCTTTGAAGATAGAATGCAGAGTTTTGACTAGATTTCATATTCTTTAAATCTACTTTCTCTCTAGAACTTTATTCGTGCAATGTCATTAGATCAAGGTGATCATCTTGCAACATATATGGCATGTTCCATGCAGCTGAGATTTTTGCACTGACAAAAGTTACATGTGCAGAGTGTGACTTTCGTTTACCCCTGTCAAAGTAACAAGCAATTGAAACACTGAATTGATTTCCCTCCTCTGTGTTATGGAAGTGCTGCAGTGTACACTCTTTGTTGTGTCAGAGTCAGAATGAAAGGGGAAAAAAAGGATGGAACAAACAAAAACAGCTAAACTAAACGCGTTGGTGTTTAAGCTGAATGTTTAAGACCATAAAAAGTAGAACGCTTTCTCTCTGTTAATTTCGATAGCTACCTTCTTGATAGCAAGTTAAAGAACTTTTCTAGTATTAACAATTACTGTTGTAGTAACCATATTTTGTCAAACATATACTACTGGTAAGTTTTTTAAAAAATGTTTATTAAAGTCTCACCAAGGCTACGTTTCTTTGATCAAAATATTGTTCAAATAAAAATTTTAAATATTATAATACTATTATAATTAAAAAAACCATGATCTATTTTAATATATTTCAGAATATAATTTATTCCTGTGATGGCAAAGCAGAATTTTCAGCAATCCTACTGTCACGATATTTCAAAATTTATTAGATTTTTAAAAATGTTTATTAAAGTCTCACCAAGGCTACGTTTCTTTGATCAAAATATTGTTCAAATAAAAATATTTTAAATATTATAATACTATTATAATTAAAAAAACCATGATCTATTTTAATATATTTCAGAATATAATTTATTCCTGTGATGGCAAAGCAGAATTTTCAGCAATCCTACTGTCACGATATTTCAAAAATCATTGTAATAATATGCTGATTTGGTGCTTAATAAACATTTATTATCAGTGTTGAAAAGAGTTCTGCTGCTTAATATTAATGATAATTGTTTTGTTGAATAGAAGGTTTAAAAGGATAGCATTTACATGAAATGGAAATAATTTTTTACTTAAACTGTCCCTTTTGGTCAGTTTAATGCACCATTAAATAAAATGTATTTTGAGAAAAAAAAAAACCCTACTGATTAAAAACGTTTGAATGGTAGTGTTTTGGGTGGGTAGTAAGTGACATTAAATCACATTCTTTTCTTTGCTTCCGTTGGTCACTGGCTGAGTACATTTGTAAGCATCACCGAGAATCCCAGGGCACAGTAGATTTTCCACTGAACTCACCCTTCTCTCCAGCTGTGAGCTTTGAATGTGACTTACACAGAAAGACTGTTGCGCCAGAACAAATAAAACTACATTTTAATATGTTGACATCTTTCATAGAAAGATTCAATGTGAGCAAACCACTTGATAATATGTATGATGTGTATGTATTCCATATGCATAATTCTTGTATGTAGTATAAGATAAGTTGAATAGCTCCCCTACTGATTAAAAACGTTTGAATGGTAGTGTTTTGGGTGGGTAGTAAGTGACATTAAATCACATTCTTTTCTTTGCTCCCGTTGGTCACTGGCTGAGTACATTTGTAAGCATCACCGAGAATCCCAGGGCACAGTAGATTTTCCACTGAACTCACCCTTCTCTCCAGCTGTGAGCTTTGAATGTGACTTACACAGAAAGACTGTTGCGCCAGAACAAATAAAACTACATTTTTCATAGAAAGATTCAATGTGAGCAAACCACTTGATAATATGTATGATGTGTATGTATTCCATATGCATAATTCTTGTATGTAGTATAAGATAAGTTGAATAGCTATAATATTTTTGGTGGTCTTCCTTCTCAGGTTGTTTAGGAACAGCAGGAGCATTGATCTACGGCCTCAGCGCCTTCAGACGGGGCAAAACTCGACAGTCGCAGCTGCTAATGAGAGCCCGTATCTTCGCTCAAGGCTTCACCGTCATTGCTATTATAGTGGGTGTAGCCGCCACAGCATTGAAGCCCAAGCAGTGAAGACGAGACAGCAGACCCTGTTTGACCACACTGACAAGCGCCTTATACGGTCCATGGGTGGAATGTGATGTGAAGATGGAATGTACTGAACATTAAATGCCAATTGTTAGCATTTTTATTTTCTTTAGATGAAGGCCCAGTGTAAGAACTCTTATTATAGATCGACTGTTGGCAGATGGCACTATTAGCAAACTTTATCAATATGCCACACATTTAAAAGAAAACAATCTGTCATCACTTACTCACTCTCAAGTTGGGCCAAACCTGTACGAGTTTCTTTCTTTTGTTAAGCACAAAAGATGATATTTTGAAGAATGTTGGTAAGCAAACAGTTGACGATTGCCATGGACTTCTATAGTATAAATAAAAAATGGAAGTCATCGGCTACCGTCAACTGCTTGGCTACACACATTCTTCAGTATATCATCTTTTGTGCTTAACAGAAGAAAGAAACTCAGACAAGTTTGGCACAACTTGAGAGTGAGTAAATGATTATTTTAATTTTTTGGGTGAACTACCCACTATTTAATTTAAAGAGTCACAACATTGCCTGGTTGCAGGCATAGTACCTGCTTTTCCATGCTGATGACCTTTGCTTGAAACATTGCATTGCTTTTTTTTTTTGTATCTCAATTTTCTGTATGTATTTAGATGGACTACTAAAGGTGCTGCGTATTGTATGCAAAGAAAATGGGAATTCTTGATATTAACTTAAATCTCCAAGTGTTATAAATGTTAGTCTCATTTTGAAAGTCACAATAAATATTGTCTGAATGCATATGTTTTTAAATGAACTCATTTTATTTAACTTGTTATTGAATACAGAATAATTATTGCATGGTCTGCACTGGTGCACACACATTTTGGAGTCGGGGTAAGGGCTAAGAGATCTATAAAAGGGGACTGAGAAATCCAACCAATTTTAAATGACAAATTAATTTTCACTAGATTGTTAAATTAGAACCCAAATTACAGATGATTTCTTTGGTTATTAACCATCGTTTGTTGTAATATGCATGAAAAGTTATCTTAAAAGCCAACTAAAATTTAATTTGCAATGGAACAAAGGCCTCCTAACATCTGTAACCTGTATATATGTGCCATTAAGTAACAAGTAGGATTACAAATTCAAAATCTGGTCTATAAAAAGCGGTATTGTTCTAATTCCAGCATGTTTATGTAAAAATACAACTACCTGCATTATCTTAATGTGCTACGTTCTATTTCTAGTGGTTTTGGTAGCTTTGAATGACGAAGGCCTACAGATAAGACAGTAAGTCTCACAGTGAGAAAAGGTTCAGGCACATGATTCATTGCTGTAGACTGAGGCCACAATTACAAACTACACTAGAAAAGCACATGGTTCAAACTTCTTATTAGTCCCTTATGTATATAGTAACATAACAGAAAACATTAACCGCTATGTAAGCACAGGCATGTGCCATTAAGGATTTCTGTACAGTGGTATATTAGCAGGTTAAATCGGAGTATTTCTCCTTCATCTGTAAAATATTTCTTCTATTTTAAGTATAATAGAAGCTTTTATGGGCAACATGCACATTGAATCGAAAACTGCAAACTTAACTAATAACTATTTGAATATTGAAAAGTGGTAATGTGTAAATGATAATAAAACAAGAACCTTAGCAAGCTCAGAGATGTAACGTCCCTCTTGGCAGTGAACAGAAATACACAAACGCAGTTAATGCCAAACCCAGATACTGATTACAACACAACATTCAACTTAGGAAGACAAATAAATTGTAAAAAAAATACTATATAGGGTGAGAGATGGTAACTAAACTGTGTTCATGTGTAGAATGTAACCAAACACTTCCATTTCCTGTGAAATGAGGCAATAAAGATACTTATTGGTTCCAGTGAATTAATGCTGTCTAATGGTTTGTGGGCTCTGCAAACGGGACAATCACAAAAATAACTCGCAAGCTAACCAAAATACTTTTGGCTACATCTGCCGCCTTTCATGTAGCTTGGGATTAAGGGAAAAACTTGACTTGTTTTCAATGGATCGAGGCACACTTACAATATGTTCTTTAACATATGGAACAGCCAAAGACCAGGGTACATAAATAGGAAGTTTAAATACAGTAAAACGTACACATTCAATGACCCTTTTTAAAAACATAAAAGCTTAAATCTGTTAAAGTGTTCAGCCTCACTAAAATAAAGTGCAAGAGGGATCAGAAAGAAAGCCTAGGAAAGACCAGAGGGAGTTACGTTAGCGAACCAGAGGCGTCTGTTTTAGAGAAATAAGAACGGAGCGCATCCGAGAGACGTCTTTAGTCTGACGGCTGGTTTTGGGGTTAAAGTCGCATAGACGAGCCACTTTCTCCCATTCTGTTCCAGGACTGTCATCATCGCACTCCTTGAGGAAGGCCTCCTCTGACACTCTACATGGACAGAGAGGAGAGAACCATGAGATCATGAGAACCAGCACTTCACAGATGCTTAGGTAAGAGCCATGTTACTTGTCATCATCTGAGACATCAAATGAAATTAGAGATCGACCAGCATTATTTTCTGTCCTAACCAGGTCTAAACACACTGATTGACAATCACAGCCAATCAGAAGTCATTTGATATTAATATTTCATCTTTTTGGGTCGGCATGTCTAACTGTTAAGAAAGAATGAAAGGTGGAAGTTACAGACCTGTTAATAAGAAATTAAGAAATAACATCATCCAGTAATAAGAAATAACATCATTAAAAATGTTGGTGGAACTGATCATTGGTCTATCTCTACATGAAATGAGAAATAAAGCATGTATGTAATTACACTGTTCAAAACTTTGGGGTCAGTAAGATTTTTTTGAAAAATATTGATACTTTTATTCAGCAAGGAAGCACTAAATTGATCAAAAGTCACAGTAAAGACATTTATAATGCTACAAAAGACTTCTACTTTAAATAAATGCTGTTCTTTTGAACTTTCTACTCATCAAAGAAGCATTTCTAAAATAAATATTAAGCAATAACTTTTTAACATCAATAATAATGACAAATGTCTCTGAAGCACCAAATCAGGATATTAGAATGATTTCCGAAGGATCATGTGACATTGAAGACTGAAGTAATGGCTGTAGAAAATTCAGCTTTGCCGTCAGAGGAATAAATTGCATTTTAAAATATATTCAAATAGAAAACAGCTCTTTTAAATTGTAATAATATTTCACAACATCAGTGTGTTTTTACTGTATTTTTTAAATTAAATAAATCCAGCATTGGTTAGCATGGGACATTTTTTCATTTAAAAACTCTTACTGACCTCAAACTTTTGAATGGTTGTCTATGTGATGCAAGCAAGAAACTGAGTGCAATTATGTGCAATTTCACTGATTTGCATTAAACATACACAAAGCCTATGGCATCAGAGTTGGGCTGTTTGTAGAAAGCCTTATCAGCGATCCTAATGCACAAACAGGCAGGACAGTAGAAGAGTAAAAGAAAAGAGGATAAATGAAAGGAAGAGAAAAATGGGAGCCGGAGAGTGAAAGAGAGAGAGAGATACATAAGAAGAAAGTCAGTCTCACACAAACTGCACATGAAAAGAAGTGTTCAAGTACATTAATCAGTTTTTCATGACACCAAGAAGACTAAAGATACAACACCATATGCTGTCGATTACCATAGAAAATCAATTTGATCATCCCTTCAGTACAAATTCTAAGTGCATTACTGTAAATACGATCTTGTTTCTGAGGAAAAAGTCAACAAGAGCTTAACCTGCATTGAACCAGGAACATTCCAACATTGAATATTTAACTTGACATGTCTTTGTAGCTCTCTCTGCTATAAATTCACACACACACACACACACACACACACACTGTAACATGAATAAAAGGGATGGTACACCCACTTTAAGGAGCATGACATTTGAATGTATTTATGTCAGAGCAGTTCTCTGATACTAGCTAAAGTTCCATGATCCTGAGATCTTCCTACACCTCAGTGATCTCTAAAGTACCTGAAAATACTTTTTATATTTTTTAAATATTTTTTTTAGGATTACTTATAAACTACTGTCATTTGACTTGTATTATTTGTATTTGTTATTTATTTAAATTTTAGTTACATTATGTCTGAATTTATTATGTCTGTATAGGTCTTTTATTAAGTTTTCAGTTTAATTTAATTTGAGTTATTTTAATACTTCAACAAACTAAATTGAAATGAAATAATATATATATTGAATTTATAAATGTGCATGTACATATACAGTATATATGTATGTGTGTGTGGTTGTACATACACATATAATGTAGTTGGTTTTTTGGTGTTTGGCTTAGTGTTATGTTAGAATCATTATTATACTCTTATACCTTTTGTTCTTTAATATTTTGAATTGGTTTTAGCTTTATTTTTTTTTGTTTTTCATTTAAATGTTAAGTTTTGAAATTTTGTTGTATGCATTTGTCACTTTTATTTAATCTCTTTATTTTTAAAATGTGTATAGGTAGTATTTATAAAGTTTTAGCTTTTAGTTTTGGATCTGTTTTTAGTTGTTTTAATACTACAATTGATTGCTTCTGTTGTCCTCATTTGTAAGTCACTTTGGATAAAAGCATGTAATAAATAAATAAATAAAATACAGTAAAGTACTGACCTTTTCCCAAAGAGCATTTGAAATAGTATAATATATATATATATATATATATATATATATATATATATATATATATATATATAAACTGATCAATTGGGCACTCAGGAATAAAAGTGTTTTCTAATGGTTTCAGTACTGTTAACTTTCGTTGAATTGTCAAGTCAACTTTATTTGTATAGCGCTTTCCACAGAACAATTTTTTTTAAACCAGCTTCACAAAAGTCTATAAGAACAATATAATTGTTCAATCTACCTTCCAGTTCAAAACGTTAGTTGGGTTTAAGTCACGGACAGTCAGACGTCAACAGCATACCAGACACGGTTCATGTGTGTGGGTCTGGAATGTTTGGTTTCAGCTTTGTTAGGAGCTCTGAATAACTTATAATAATATTACTGGGACGATAATCTTTCTTTTGTGTTTGTTTTCTCTTCAGGCCATGAATATATATAGTGTAACGCTCAACGGACCTGCTCCCTGGGGTTTTCGGCTTCAGGGAGGCAAGGACTTCAACATGCCTCTGACTGTGTCCAGGGTAAGTGACCTCCATCTTGGATGTAGCGATGGGTAATAGGCATGTTTTGTTTTCAGCTTAAGCTGTTAGCTGCTTATAAATGATGTTTTCATCTCATTTGTTCCCTTTAACTTTTCAGTTTGACAAATGAACAATGCGTTTCGCAGGTTTCATTTAGATAGCATGAACCCATCACTCACTCACGGTGTTTTCATCCTCATAATGAAGTTTTGCACTAATTCTGTGTCGGTTAACAGCCCCACCTCTGCACACAGAAAGTCATCAAACACAACCTCATAAGGAAATGCAATAGAGTTAATGAGAAAAGTGCGATCAGTGCTTCATGAGGTCTATTTCAACACTCGCATTCCTTCAGAAACATGTCAGCTCTATCCAATTGCAAGTGAATAGTGAGCATGTTAAGCTCTACAATGACAAATGCAACATAAAAGCTCTGTTGGCTCAGAATATACCTCAAAACACACAGACTTAATGTATGTGGTACTTTTTGACTTTATTTTGGAGCTTAAAGTCACTATTTATGGGTATTTTGGTCACTATTTGCTTCCACTGAATGTAAAAGAACATTGCGAATATTCTTTTTTCATACATGAAGTAGGCCTATATGACTAAAATCACGATTTTTTTCTTAGTGCAATTGTCACTTTTTATATATATTTAAATAGTGCATGGCACTTTTTAAAATATTATTTATTTATTTATTCAAGCAGCTCAATTTGTTTTGCTTATAACAGATTTGGGAACACAACATGCACCAACCATCTTTCCCAACTTTTAAAAAGCTATTAAAAAGCACTTAAACAGACTGTTGTCAACAAAAGAAAAGCAGGGTGAGTTTTTCTCAAAGCAAAATCTTGTTTTATAAAAATATAAAAGCTTGATGGTTTAACATTTGAAAATGATGAAATTAAAAAAACTTGTAAAAATAAGTGTATTTATTAAATTTTTTATATGAAATTGCAACATTTTGGGCCAAATTGTGCAGCTCTACCATCATGCACCGCAAACGTTTTTAAATCGTGATCACAATTTTTATCAAGAAAATCACAATTAGGCTTTTTTCTCTAAATGGTTCAAGTGTAACTTAATTTTTTTTATATATTCTCCCTTTAGGACCTCTTGTGGTCTGGTCTGTTTCCTGTATGCTTGCCAAAGTGCTACACCTGGTGGAGGACTTTCTGCGAGTCTGTTATTCAGACCCCAGCCATTTCCTCATGATGTCCTGATGACATCACAATGCTTCTTATGTTTCATAAATATTTGCATGGTCTCAAACAGGCTGTTGAGGGCAGAGGCTCGAGGACAATAACTTTTGTTCTCTTCCCCAGTGCTGTTCAACTCCAGATTCCTATTCAGAACTCCGCAGAGAAGACTTTGTAAATGTTTGTTGAAGTGACTAGCAGGTGGCCGGGACAGGAAATGTGGTAGAACTTGGAGAATGGAGGGATAGGGAGTCTGAAATGTCCAGGGCAGATGTTAACAGCTTTATATAGACATTGCATTCAAATACATGCCAGCAGCAAAAGCTGGATCTCATTAGGGGGTTACCACCAAATGTCTTATTATGTTATTACACACACTAAGTGCTATTAATGATGCACAGCATTTTACATTTTGAGTTGCTTTTATTTGTGGCCAAATGTGGTGATGCTGTTGGAGTCCACAGTGTCAAGGTTTCTCCATTGATGGCCATAGAAAAGAAGAGCAACTGCAGTTGAAATGAATGGGAATGCTAACACGCATCCTCCCTGATTGGGTCAAGAAAACCTCACGAGTGTACCTTTTAACTTTAGGGTGGGACGCTAACCTTTCCTATTTATCGTTTCTGTGGGAGTTTTGAGCAAAGCTTCCTCAAATGTTAATCGCCAACGGAAATCTTGCTGAACTGCTTGCCAGATCAACAATAGGTCAGAACATTCCTCTAGAACTTGGCAGAGCTCGCATGGTTTGGAATAAATGTTCACAAATTTTATATGGCAGATCAATTTGGCAGGATCTTGGGTCTGGGTTGTGTGCCTTATCATCAGTGTGTGTGTCATTCAAGTTGTTCACACTTTGCTCTGCAGTAATATGAAACTGTCACTAGTCTTATTTTCCCAGAAGACATCAGACACAGGCTGACTAAGCCTTGGAGGTTCACATTTTGGTTTTGCTGTTCCAATTGTGAATAAGCGATAAACGTAAATCTGTGACTTCTTTAGCACAAGGAAAGGATATACATGTGAATGTGACTCATGCGTTCCTAGACTTGACACACAGAACGTCATTTCCCAGACAGCAGTAGAATATTTTCCATGTTCCAAAATTTGAATGTTCATTTCCATGTAACACCGGCACTAGCATATTTCCCTACATTCTCTTCACTTTCCCTTTTGGGCGATGCCTCTGGCCTTTTTCTGAGTGATTTATATGCTAAGTCGGTCTTATCTGAAAATGCTGCACAGTAAGACTGTAAAAGTCAATGCTGCGTTAAAGTGCTGGGTTATTTTAGACTGGCTTTTTGTTATGATGAAGGGTTTACCAACAGTATGTTGCGAGTTCTTTGTCTGTGCTGTAGACTTTGCTTCCTCTCAGGTGTGTTTGTTCTTGTGCGGTTGAGTTTGATTGATTGGAAGGTGCTGCTTCTTTCTCTGCAGTGGCTTTAGAGTTGACATGGATTTGAATAGATGAATAATAGCTCAACTTGAGGTGTGGTTGGCTAATATCCATTTTTAGCTGATCTTGCTTTTAAATCTAATGCTTGTGTCATTTATTCAAGCTGATGAAACTAAAGTGCTTTTGAATGCTTGTAAAGTAATGTTTTTTTCTTAATTAAATGGTGACAAAGGACTTGATAGGACATGTTTGCAGGTTCAGAGAAATGTTATTAATCTTCTCTTTTGCTGCTGGCCTACTTAAACACAGAGCCCTGAATTTAGACATATTCAGAATCTGGGTCAAATTATAACAAATTCAGCAGCTATTAGATATCAAATAAATTAGTTTATTCCTTTTGGAGATTCATATTAGTGGTGTTGATGCACTATGCTATAGTTCATACTTGGGTTAGAAGAATAAATAAGATAACCTTGTGTATTAAACTTGGATAACTTGTCCTGCACAATGCTACCAGTGTTAATTTGGTATTATTTATATGCTATTATAATTTTAATTAATTTTAAAATGTGCTTTTATTTGTATAATTTCAGTTTTCATTTTGATTGACTTTTTAATAGTTTTGTTTTATGCTTTTCTAATTTTTATTAGTTGTATAAATTAATTTTCATTCCAGTTTTATATTTTTATTTCAGTTTTTCAACATTTATATTTTATTTCAGCTTTTTAAATTAACAAAAAAATGTTTTTTTAATAGTCTTACATTTAATTGATGCTAAGGATGATTCCTTTCTGCATGCTACAGAATGGAATGATACCTAAAATTATGCAGCTTATTAAGGAGTTGTGTGTTACGTTAATCTATGAGACTTACGGTTTTCACTTGACAGATGAGAAATCGAGCTAAAAATTCCTGTAGATTTACATATTATAGAATGAGTGAGATGTGCCATGTGTTGAGACCAGAATAGCCATAGAGACTTGGGGTGAGCACTTTTGGCTTTGGCCATTAAGAAACCACCTAGTAACTACCCAAAACAACTTAGCAACCAATTGGCAATGTGCTTTAAAACATTCTTTATTTTAGAGTACCCTTGCAACCACTCACAAAACCCATGTATTGTGTTTATGTTCTCAGAACCACTTGCACTTTCTTCAAAAAATTTACAAATCTGATTCAGATTTGAAATGTTTATAGTTAGTCATCTTATGACACTTCATTACATACAGACTGACTAATGTTTGTTCTCTGTGGCTGTTTCAGCTGACTCCAGGCGGTAAGGCGGCCCAGGACGGAGTGGGTGTTGGGGATTGGTTGGTGTCCATCTCTGATGCCAACGCAGAGGAGATGACCCATGTGGAGGCACAGAACAAGATCAGAGCCGCAACCGACTCCCTCGCTCTCACTTTGAGCAGGTACACACACACACACACACTTACTCATCGTCTCTGAGTGTCAGTATCCCAGGGAGATAGGATGGGTTCACAGGAAATTTAGTTCTTTGGTTAATACCTCACTGTTAACCCTTTTATTACAGTCTTGAAAGATAGACTGTGATTTTTACAACCGGTGGTGCATTAGAAACAACAAAACAAAGATATTCAGACAATTTACAACTGTGATGATATCAAAGAGCCTTCAAAGAGCAGATTCCTGGACTTTGAAAAAAATGAATTGTCAGACACTATTTACTTTAGTTAATAGATAGTTAATAGTATTTTGGTAGTAGGCATGGACCGATTACCGGTTTCAAGGTATACCGCGATTTGAAAATCTCACGGTTTCAAAACCACTAATATTTTCCGTTATACCGTTCCTGTGGTATGCGCTGTGGTATGCCACGTGTGTACTGTGTAGGATGGCCAAACTTAAGGAGCTTCCCCTGGAACTTACGCGATCGGCAACCGGCCGTTTTTTGTCTTATTGCAAGCAACTCGTCTCTGGACTTGCACAAACTGCGTTGTAATGCAATCGTTTTCCAAAATGTAATTTATGTAAAAATATGAAGTCTGTAAACTCCCGTTAACACAGGCCAGAGACGTTGAAGATGGACGCACAGAGAAAAATACTGTAGCAGGCAGATCACTCACTGTTCATGATGCACAAACTATTGGAAGAAAATCCTCAATATTGATTTGGAGGTTTATATGACTGTTTCTGAGGGGAACTGACTGTCTTCAGAAATGTTTACGTGGTATTTTCTTTTCAACTCGTCTCTGTATAGTTCATATTAAAGCAGCGTTTTAGCGCAGCTACAGCGGTAACCAAGGAAACACTGTATCTGGTGTTCCAGAAGTGCCTCCTGCTGTCAGAGAGTGAATCTGCATCTCATTCAGAGCTTCTGCTGTTTGCTTCATTCAGGCATGTAGTAAAATTTCACAAAGCTAGTCAGAACATTCTGTTTTTGCTTCAAATTGGGTTATTATTAAATCAAATTATGCATATTAACTAAATGATATGAAATGATATAAATGAAATATGAATTATATAACTAAAATTAAATAACTGTAATTACAGATTTAGGTTAAGTAAAGATGTCAGTCATTATTTTTCTTCTTTTTAGGAAACAAATCAAAGAAAAAAATAAACATTCTACTGTTCCTAATATTCTGTATGTTGCTCAAAAACAAAATGTATTGTGTTCAGCTGGAAAAAGTTAATTTTTTTTTAACCCAGTCATTTAAAAAAACACATTTTAGAGCTGTAATGACAATACCGTGATACTGTGAAACAGTGATATTTTTGCTTAAGGTTATCATACCGTCAAAATCTCATACCGGCCCATGCCTATTTGGTAGTCATGCTAATGTAGCTGTGTTTATGGTGGGTTACTATTATTTTGTTCAGAATGCCAAAAGCATTGCCTATAGAGTGCAACAGTCCAGTCCAGAAGTAAAACATCACATTTATTTTCTTCATAGAGATATTGAAATAGTGCTGACATCTAAAACAAACCTACCACAAGCTCCAAGATTGGTATAGCACTGTTTCATTGGAATTTTTATTTTTTAATTAACATGTAGCTTAACAATTGTGAAATACATTGTGTTATTGTTAACTAAAATTTGATTTGTTTTTAATATTAAAATGAAATAAAATCTAAAAATATTAGATTACTTAAAAAGATACAAAAATTAGAAATGCTTCCTTGGCAACTAACTGAAATAAAATAAGTTTAGGATGAAGTACTAAAATTCCTAAAGCTCATACTGAAATAAATAAATAAAAGCAATTAAACAAAACATTTAAAATGAAAACTTAAAATTATTAATAAATACCATAATATATAATACAAAATAGCAGTAAATATATTATATAAGCACATTAATTATGTTATAATTATGTTATTATTATAAATTATTAGATTATAATTATGAATGGCTCAATATTTATAATGTACTGTTGTTTTCCTATGTTTTTAATTTTATTTTTTTAATCAAACGTCATGATTCATCTTGGAGAAGGTTGGTTTGGTTCTTAGAACATTTAATGAAGATTTTGTTTTGTTTTTTTAAAAATGCCTATGGAGAAAATTTAGTTCAGTTGGAAGCGCATGGCACTAGCAATGCCAAGATCATAGGTTTGGTTGTCAGGGAGCAACACAAATTGTTGAACAGTAAGACTGCTGTGGGTAAAACATCTGCCAAATGCATAAATGTTAAATTGATTGGGGAAAAAAACTTCTAAACCAAGGCCACTTAAAAACCGGGCAGTCACACTTGCGCTCTGTTGTGATATTTTGTGCTACTAATTTTGGTCTGTTGTTTTGAAAATTGACTTTTAAACCGTTCCTAATTTAATTTAATTTGATTGGGCTCAAAACTGTGTCTAGAGAGCTGATCTAACAGGCAGTAACACGTCTCCAAATAAAATTGTCTTTTGCTTGTTGCCATAGCAATCATGCTGATAACTTGGCATGGTACCTTCTGTGGCATTTAAGCAGAATTAAATGACCTCTAGATCTTTGGGCCTCTTGTTTTGTGCAGACGGTATTAAATGCATAGAACAAATCTTTAAATGTGTCGTAATAAAACTCTCCGATGGCTCAGATGACCCTGGGCTAAAGGTAGAACAGATAATTTGGAAACATAGTGGTAAGTCTGTGACTTGAGCTGACCTTCGCTTTTCAGCACGGAGATGGGAAAACTCCAATGCCTCGGGACGCAATTCTGAAATTGCTTACGTTGCACTCCTTTTGGGAAACTGCAAAAAGAGCCCAAAAAAGGAAAGTTTGAAATGGACCTTACTGCCCTCAGACAGAACAGAAGCTACTGGTGGAAAGAGTCTAATGTCTGTGGCTAAGAGATGAGTAATGGGAAAGATGAGTGTAGTTGCAGAGTGACAGATGCGCTCCTTCCTGCTCTGTCATTAGGCCGTCCCTGTGATCAACACAAGAAGACGAAGAGCCTGTTTAATGGTCCAAACCACAGCTATGGATGTGGTATTCTTCCTTTTTTGTGTGTGCGAGAATCATTTATATGTCATCACATAGGTAAGCGCTTGTAGCGGTTAGTAATGGCCTGTTTAAGTGAAGAGGGATAAAAACTTGTGCTCGAGTTATGAGAAATACATCTCCCTCGATAAAACGGGGCTTAGCTCGTACATGCATGACTCCAATAATTATATGTACAACATTTGTCTCTTTGCACTGGCAAATCTTATGAAGAAGCGTCAAGACAGTCATATTTTACCCTAAAATTACAAAAAAAAAAAAAAAAAAGTTTCTTATGCTCATCAAGGCTGTATCTATTTGATCAAAAATACAGAAACATTTTTGTGAAATATTATTGAAATTTAAAATAAGTTTTCTATTTTAACATACTTTAAAATATAATTTATTTCCGTGAAGCAAAGCTGAATCTTCAGCAGCCTTACTCCAGCTTTCAGTGTCACATGATCATTCAGAAATCATTCTAATATACTGATTTATATTCAATGTTGGAAACCGTTTTTGCTGCTTAATATTTTTGGGGACCTGTAATATCACGGTTTATTCAAAGTAGAAATTTTGTATTACAACATGCACTACTAATCAAAGGTTTTGGGGTCAGTAAATTTCCTCTCTTATTTTTTATTTTTTTTAAAAGGAATTAATACTTTTATTCAGCAAGGATGTGTTAAATGGATAAAAAGTGATTGTAAAAACTTATATTGTTAGAAAAGATTTCCATTTTGAATAAATGCTGTTCTTTTTAACTTTTTTTTTATTCACCAAAGAATCGAAAGAAAAAGTATCACAGGTTTGGAAAAGATTTAAAGCAGCGCTATGTAACTTTTTCTGTGTTCAAAATTTGCAAAATGTATATAATGAGCGAGTACATCATGAATTCATCTTCCAAACCGCGTTTTTGTCTTATTCCGAATCACTACGGTACACTTATAATAAGTACTTATATTTGGACTATTGTAGCCTGGTCGGGTCGTCACCGCTGCGGAGTAACACATACCTGCGTGAATCGCCATAGACATAAACTTAGAGAAGTAGCTCTGGTTGGAATGTTCTTCTGCGGGATGTGTGCAGTTCTGTTTATTAACTGCTAGAGCGCTAAAAGTTACATAGTGCTGCTTTAAGCAGCACAATAGTTCCAACACTGATAATAAATCAGCTTATTAGAATAATTCCTGAAGGATCATGTGACACTGAAGACTGGAGTAATGGTTAATGAAAATTCAGCACTGCATCACAGAAATAAATAACATTTTAAAGTATATTAAAATTGGAAACCAATATTAGAAATTGCAATAATATTTCACAATATAACCGTTTTATTTTTCTGATACATTTGTATATATTTTTGTCATTTTAGGGTGAAATATGACTTTTTCTTGACACTTCTTCGTAAGATTAAATACCCCGTCAATTCTTAGGGCTGTTTCAGGTCAAAGAGAGGTAATTTTCACACAAAATGCACATAAAATGTCCTCTAGAATGAGGGAGGACATGAATGAGGTCGGTTTAGTCATAAAATGTTTCACGATGCAGAGACTTGCGATTCTCCAGACAGCTCTTTGTCACAGGCCACATCTTTGGAATGCTGGGAGACGAAATGAGCTGATTGGATGTGTGGGTGAGAGTGGGCGTGTCCTCGAGTCATATCGCCGATGGTTAGATGTCATTTTTTTTGTGGAGTTTGTTGTGACATAACTGTGAAAACATCTGTTTATCAAAGTTCATAATTACCTCTTTGCCCAGTACGCTGATAGATGACTAGTATCCTGACTATTGTTTTGGGAGCTTTGGTTGTCAGACATGTCAGGGTGTCTGTCTGTTGTTGTCAATCACGGATAAATTACAGTGTTTGCATCCCATGGAAAGGCATGCTTGAAGACAAACGTCTGAGCATGTCTGTATTTCTTCCGGAATATACTTTTATTACAGAGGGTGGTGTAGTTTTGGTTTACATGGCCTTTGATAGCCATTTGGGCAACCTCTTCAATTGTGGTTTGCAACGGTTCTTTGAAACACAAAGTCTCTTTTTAGCTTTGTTGCTTTAGATGGTTGTCCTGGTTTGCCCTTCATGTGTGCTTTGGGTCAGTGTTTGTTTTAAAGCATTAAGTTTAATTCGAAATCAGAATGGATTTGTCTCTGTTGTTGTAATCTTGTCGAAATGCAATAACTTGCTTTTGCCCGTGTTACAGGTTTCCTTGTCTGCTAACATTTACATAGGCTGCACAGGCTGTTTACTAATAGACAAATAGTTGTTTAGGCTTAAACTACTGTTACTGTCATGTAATAGATGGAAAATGACTTGCAAATTCAATTTCATATTGATTTTTGAAAATGTAATCTTTGAGTACAAAGTGAAGAAAAGCTGGTGTAATGCATTTTAGGAAAACTTTGCAAGCATTATTTATTTGTTTGCTTGTTTACCTTCCTACCTACCTTGCAGGAAAACAGATTGAAAATAGAATATACAGTTCAGCTATATATTGCAACTGCCAGTATATATTGTCATTTGCACTGGACACTGTTCATTTCCTCTGCCATTTCCTGGAATGGATAACTCTTGTAAAACAGCCTTGTTGTGCTATTTTCTTCTACATTTTCTCTCTAAATGGCTATCTGTAAGCAGGCCACTGTGCAAAAGCAAACCATCGCTGTCACAGGAAGTGGTGTATAGGCTCAGGAAATGCAGACTCATGGGGAGGTCACAGATGGAATGCAACTATTTTTCCTGCCTAGTCAAACTAACCTAGATGGTCCAGTTTAGGCCAGATGTTCTTGAATACAGTGCTTATCTTGAGTACAGTGATGGTATTGGATGGTAATAAGGGCTACTGCAACAGGATGCTGAGCTTCCAGTTCTCAGACGGCACACAGCTAGTGTGGCATGTCTAGTCTGAGATTTAATTACACTGGCGCCGTCCACTGGTTATGGTAGAGGACTCGACCACAACACCAACAGGGTCAGGCAGGGTTACACTCCAATGAGGGGCTTTACCACAGCCGATCCACCTGTGTAATGCGGGCCAAAGTGCCAGAGTGAATAGACTCCTTTCAGAGCTCAGTCTCTCCAGTTCAATGCACTTTAGTAGCCTCTACCCTGATCGCTAAGCTGTATTAGTCTCAATGGACTCCAGCAGTACTGTGGGTAAGAGATCAGGTATACGCACAGGGGATGTGCAAAACGACAGTTTTATAGTTAAATATTTATATAAATCTGTTTATACCTTATTGCACAAAACTGACAAGCCCTCAAAAAAAAAAACCACTGGCCTGCAGATTATACATAATGACAGGAAAATTGCTCACACCAGGCAAGTTGAAGTGTGCTGAAAAAAGTGAATTTGTTATAAAAGTAGTGCTCTGATGGCAGTACCAGTTTTGTGTTTTAAAGCACAGATACAAAATAATAAGCTAAAACAATCAGATCGGCTACATTTTTACTAATCGACCATCCTGACCTATTTCTAACGTTCTATCTTACCATAGCCCTCAGGGAGGTCAGGGGATTGGGGTCCGTGTGGTCTGTTTTGGGGGGTGTGTGCATGCCCTCTGGAATCTTGGTTTCTGATGCGTTGTGCTTGGAGCCGTTGCTCCTGATTGGGCGACTCAAGTGCACGGCAGTTGCCCCCACCAGCGGCTCCTGTAGGATCTGTGTATGGCATGGGCTCCTCCATGAAGCAGCTGAGAGGTCGCCCGGGTCCCGAGTCTTCAAAGACAGGCCTGAAACATACACATACAGAGCAGTTGTTAAAACACATACAGCCACACAAACATTTCAATGGGTCTTGGTATTGATGATCAAAACAGTGATGAACTGTGAAACTAACAGATCTTTAGGAAGCTCAAATAAAGTGCTTTATCTGGGCAGGTAGCCAGTCCATGCTAAAAAAAAAAAAAACAAACAAAAAAAAACCCCATCCTCTAAGACAAACAGTTGACTCACCCTTCATTCTCTACCAGTCCTCTACAGTCGACCACAGGCCCTCCACTGCCAATTCTGTCTCTGGTCTGCAGACTCACTACAAAAATGAAGTAAATGGTTAAAGAAAAGTCATTTAGTTCGAAGAATCTTCATTTAGTCAAATACTGATTCAGCAATTTTATTTTTCATAAGTTTGATAGTAGACATTTGAATTTAGATACATCAATGACAAGAAAATACAAAAAACAAACAAATAATGCTTTTCTCTGAACTAACTTCACTTTAGTGAGCCCAATTTCATCAAAGCAGCACTATGTAACTTTTTCTGTGTTCAAAATTTGCAAAATGTATATAATGAGCGAGTACATCATGAATTCATCTTCCAAACCGCGTTTTTGTCTTATTCCGAATCACTACGGTACACTTATAATAAGTACTTATATTTGGACTATTGTAGCCTGGTCGGGTCGTCACCGCTGCGGAGTAACACATACCTGCGTGAATCGCCATAGACATAAACTTAGAGAAGTAGCTCTGGTTGGAATGTTCTTCTGCGGGATGTGTGCAGTTCTGTTTATTAACTGCTAGAGCGCTAAAAGTTACATAGTGCTGCTTTAAGCAGCACAATAGTTCCAACACTGATAATAAATCAGCTTATTAGAATAATTCCTGAAGGATCATGTGACACTGAAGACTGGAGTAATGGTTAATGAAAATTCAGCACTGCATCACAGAAATAAATAACATTTTAAAGTATATTAAAATTGGAAACCAATATTAGAAATTGCAATAATATTTCACAATATAACCGTTTTATTTTTCTGATACATTTGTATATATTTTTGTCATTTTAGGGTGAAATATGACTTTTTCTTGACACTTCTTCGTAAGATTAAATACCCCGTCAATTCTTAGGGCTGTTTCAGGTCAAAGAGAGGTAATTTTCACACAAAATGCACATAAAATGTCCTCTAGAATGAGGGAGGACATGAATGAGGTGGGTTTAGTCATAAAATGTTTCACGATGCAGAGACTGCAGACAGCTCTTTGTCACAGGCCACATCTTTGGAATGCTGGGAGACGAAATGAGCTGATTGGATGTGTGGGTGAGAGTGGGCGTGTCCTCGAGTCATATCGCCGATGGTTAGATGTCATTTTTTTTGTGGAGTTTGTTGTGACATAACTGTGAAAACATCTGTTTATCAAAGTTCATAATTACCTCTTTGCCCAGTACGCTGATAGATGACTAGTATCCTGACTATTGTTTTGGGAGCTTTGGTTGTCAGACATGTCAGGGTGTCTGTCTGTTGTTGTCAATCACGGATAAATTACAGTGTTTGCATCCCATGGAAAGGCATGCTTGAAGACAAACGTCTGAGCATGTCTGTATTTCTTCCGGAATATACTTTTATTACAGAGGGTGGTGTAGTTTTGGTTTACATGGCCTTTGATAGCCATTTGGGCAACCTCTTCAATTGTGGTTTGCAACGGTTCTTTGAAACACAAAGTCTCTTTTTAGCTTTGTTGCTTTAGATGGTTGTCCTGGTTTGCCCTTCATGTGTGCTTTGGGTCAGTGTTTGTTTTAAAGCATTAAGTTTAATTCGAAATCAGAATGGATTTGTCTCTGTTGTTGTAATCTTGTCGAAATGCAATAACTTGCTTTTGCCCGTGTTACAGGTTTCCTTGTCTGCTAACATTTACATAGGCTGCACAGGCTGTTTACTAATAGACAAATAGTTGTTTAGGCTTAAACTACTGTTACTGTCATGTAATAGATGGAAAATGACTTGCAAATTCAATTTCATATTGATTTTTGAAAATGTAATCTTTGAGTACAAAGTGAAGAAAAGCTGGTGTAATGCATTTTAGGAAAACTTTGCAAGCATTATTTATTTGTTTGCTTGTTTACCTTCCTACCTACCTTGCAGGAAAACAGATTGAAAATAGAATATACAGTTCAGCTATATATTGCAACTGCCAGTATATATTGTCATTTGCACTGGACACTGTTCATTTCCTCTGCCATTTCCTGGAATGGATAACTCTTGTAAAACAGCCTTGTTGTGCTATTTTCTTCTACATTTTCTCTCTAAATGGCTATCTGTAAGCAGGCCACTGTGCAAAAGCAAACCATCGCTGTCACAGGAAGTGGTGTATAGGCTCAGGAAATGCAGACTCATGGGGAGGTCACAGATGGAATGCAACTATTTTTCCTGCCTAGTCAAACTAACCTAGATGGTCCAGTTTAGGCCAGATGTTCTTGAATACAGTGCTTATCTTGAGTACAGTGATGGTATTGGATGGTAATACCATGGTGCTTTGATATTTGGAGCCCAACACCTTATTTATTCAACTCTGTGATTGTATGATTACCATGTTCATGTTTATGTGATGCTTTAGGGTACATCAAAGTAGCATTTTAAATGTTTTTGTTAATTGTTAATACAAGAAGAATGAGACAAAGGGAAAAAAATTAAAAGCATAGTTGGAAAAGGTGTTTTTAAGGTCTGATTTGAGTGTTTAAGACTTCATTAACCAGAACCCCCCCCCAATCTGATACATTGCTATTCCACATGTTTGAGTCACATGTGTCTGTTCAAAATTATTTGGACAACCATCAGGTATTAATTCACACTTACAGCTGCAACATTCCATTCAGACTGACAAAATGGGATTTGGAGCCAGAAAGAACCGATTTAATTCCCATGAGTCTTGTTGTGTTTGGCACAAATATCTGTCTGTCTGTTAGACTGCCCTTAGTTAACATTTTAAGCATTGCAGTGAAATGAGTCATTTTTATGAATGAGCTTAAGCAAATTCTTTCTCTACTTTTCTGTCTGCAGAGCTTTTAATGCTGCCGGAGGAGAGCAGAAGGTAAGACAGTTGCCATTTTTCTCGTGTCGGACAGAACTGCGAAGCTTTCGCAAGACCACTCAACCAGCTCCTGATATCTGAAGAAACACATTTAGATCGGTTCTCAAGTTCTCAGCTGCTTTGAATACTTCAGAACTGAGCAAACACACAAAGACACACTAGCTAAACGCACACATCTAAATCTCTTGCCATAGATGTTTTTGTTTTTATGTGAGGTCATTATATATTTATATATAGCCCCTGAAAGAAAACTTTTTCACTCATAACTTATTTCTTGGAATAATTTTGTCCCCAAAGCATATCTAAGTTAGCTCCCACACACATACTCATTTCAGCTTTCAACTAGTGTGATTTCACTCAAACACACAGTGCTTCATAGATCATTCATAACTCATTCTCATGTAAGTTTCATGGCTCTTTTGACTTTCATGTGCTGGTTGCAGTATATTGCGGAGGTTTGGGTGGTTTGTCTGTTTGCCTGTCTGATTCAAATGTTAAACATCTTGCTTTTGGTCTTGTTTAAACCTCCCTTCAACAATTTTTTGGTTTGGTTGAATCTGCATTTCCCAGTAGGGCCATGTGCGCATACTATAACAGCAAAAGTTAATGAACTTATAACTTTTACATAAAAAATTTTAACTATAGAATTTTTAGCTGTAACTATATAATTTTTTATAATTAAAAAAATATATATTATAATATTATTATTATATTTTTATAATTGTTAATTAATATATAAATTAAATTTTATACAATATTTTTGTTAAACGTTTGTGTGTGTGTGTGTATGTGTGTGTTCTGGTCTGCAGACTCACTACAAAAATGAAGTAAATGGTTAAAGAAAAGTCATTTAGTTCGAAGAATCTTCATTTAGTCAAATACTGATTCAGCAATTTTATTTTTCATAAGTTTGATAGTAGACATTTGAATTTAGATACATCAATGACAAGAAAATACAAAAAACAAACAAATAATGCTTTTCTCTGAACTAACTTCACTTTAGTGAGCCCAATTTCATCAAAGCAGCACTATGTAACTTTTTCTGTGTTCAAAATTTGCAAAATGTATATAATGAGCGAGTACATCATGAATTCATCTTCCAAACCGCGTTTTTGTCTTATTCCGAATCACTACGGTACACTTATAATAAGTACTTATATTTGGACTATTGTAGCCTGGTCGGGTCGTCACCGCTGCGGAGTAACACATACCTGCGTGAATCGCCATAGACATAAACTTAGAGAAGTAGCTCTGGTTGGAATGTTCTTCTGCGGGATGTGTGCAGTTCTGTTTATTAACTGCTAGAGCGCTAAAAGTTACATAGTGCTGCTTTAAGCAGCACAATAGTTCCAACACTGATAATAAATCAGCTTATTAGAATAATTCCTGAAGGATCATGTGACACTGAAGACTGGAGTAATGGTTAATGAAAATTCAGCACTGCATCACAGAAATAAATAACATTTTAAAGTATATTAAAATTGGAAACCAATATTAGAAATTGCAATAATATTTCACAATATAACCGTTTTATTTTTCTGATACATTTGTATATATTTTTGTCATTTTAGGGTGAAATATGACTTTTTCTTGACACTTCTTCGTAAGATTAAATACCCCGTCAATTCTTAGGGCTGTTTCAGGTCAAAGAGAGGTAATTTTCACACAAAATGCACATAAAATGTCCTCTAGAATGAGGGAGGACATGAATGAGGTCGGTTTAGTCATAAAATGTTTCACGATGCAGAGACTTGCGATTCTCCAGACAGCTCTTTGTCACAGGCCACATCTTTGGAATGCTGGGAGACGAAATGAGCTGATTGGATGTGTGGGTGAGAGTGGGCGTGTCCTCGAGTCATATCGCCGATGGTTAGATGTCATTTTTTTTGTGGAGTTTGTTGTGACATAACTGTGAAAACATCTGTTTATCAAAGTTCATAATTACCTCTTTGCCCAGTACGCTGATAGATGACTAGTATCCTGACTATTGTTTTGGGAGCTTTGGTTGTCAGACATGTCAGGGTGTCTGTCTGTTGTTGTCAATCACGGATAAATTACAGTGTTTGCATCCCATGGAAAGGCATGCTTGAAGACAAACGTCTGAGCATGTCTGTATTTATTCCGGAATATACTTTTATTACAGAGGGTGGTGTAGTTTTGGTTTACATGGCCTTTGATAGCCATTTGGGCAACCTCTTCAATTGTGGTTTGCAACGGTTCTTTGAAACACAAAGTCTCTTTTTAGCTTTGTTGCTTTAGATGGTTGTCCTGGTTTGCCCTTCATGTGTGCTTTGGGTCAGTGTTTGTTTTAAAGCATTAAGTTTAATTCGAAATCAGAATGGATTTGTCTCTGTTGTTGTAATCTTGTCGAAATGCAATAACTTGCTTTTGCCCGTGTTACAGGTTTCCTTGTCTGCTAACATTTACATAGGCTGCACAGGCTGTTTACTAATAGACAAATAGTTGTTTAGGCTTAAACTACTGTTACTGTCATGTAATAGATGGAAAATGACTTGCAAATTCAATTTCATATTGATTTTTGAAAATGTAATCTTTGAGTACAAAGTGAAGAAAAGCTGGTGTAATGCATTTTAGGAAAACTTTGCAAGCATTATTTATTTGTTTGCTTGTTTACCTTCCTACCTACCTTGCAGGAAAACAGATTGAAAATAGAATATACAGTTCAGCTATATATTGCAACTGCCAGTATATATTGTCATTTGCACTGGACACTGTTCATTTCCTCTGCCATTTCCTGGAATGGATAACTCTTGTAAAACAGCCTTGTTGTGCTATTTTCTTCTACATTTTCTCTCTAAATGGCTATCTGTAAGCAGGCCACTGTGCAAAAGCAAACCATCGCTGTCACAGGAAGTGGTGTATAGGCTCAGGAAATGCAGACTCATGGGGAGGTCACAGATGGAATGCAACTATTTTTCCTGCCTAGTCAAACTAACCTAGATGGTCCAGTTTAGGCCAGATGTTCTTGAATACAGTGCTTATCTTGAGTACAGTGATGGTATTGGATGGTAATAACCATGGTGCTTTGATATTTGGAGCCCAACACCCAACACCTTATTTATTCAACTCTGTGATTGTATGATTACCATGTTCATGTTTATGTGATGCTTTAGGGTACTTCAAAGTAGCATTTTAAATGTTTTTGTTAATTGTTAATACAAGAAGAATGAGACAAAGGGAAAAAAAGTAAAAGCATAGTTGGAAAAGGTGTTTTTAAGGTCTGATTTGAGTGTTTAAGACTTCATTAACCAGAACCCCCCCCCAATCTGATACATTGCTATTCCACATGTTTGAGTCACATGTGTCTGTTCAAAATTATTTGGACAACCATCAGGTATTAATTCACACTTACAGCTGCAACATTCCATTCAGACTGACAAAATGGGATTTGGAGCCAGAAAGAACCGATTTAATTCCCATGAGTCTTGTTGTGTTTGGCACAAATATCTGTCTGTCTGTTAGACTGCCCTTAGTTAACATTTTAAGCATTGCAGTGAAATGAGTCATTTTTATGAATGAGCTTAAGCAAATTCTTTCTCTACTTTTCTGTCTGCAGAGCTTTTAATGCTGCCGGAGGAGAGCAGAAGGTAAGACAGTTGCCATTTTTCTCGTGTCGGACAGAACTGCGAAGCTTTCGCAAGACCACTCAACCAGCTCCTGATATCTGAAGAAACACATTTAGATCGGTTCTCAAGTTCTCAGCTGCTTTGAATACTTCAGAACTGAGCAAACACACAAAGACACACTAGCTAAACGCACACATCTAAATCTCTTGCCATAGATGTTTTTGTTTTTATGTGAGGTCATTATATATTTATATATAGCCCCTGAAAGAAAACTTTTTCACTCATAACTTATTTCTTGGAATAATTTTGTCCCCAAAGCATATCTAAGTTAGCTCCCACACACATACTCATTTCAGCTTTCAACTAGTGTGATTTCACTCAAACACACAGTGCTTCATAGATCATTCATAACTCATTCTCATGTAAGTTTCATGGCTCTTTTGACTTTCATGTGCTGGTTGCAGTATATTGCGGAGGTTTGGGTGGTTTGTCTGTTTGCCTGTCTGATTCAAATGTTAAACATCTTGCTTTTGGTCTTGTTTAAACCTCCCTTCAACAATTTTTTGGTTTGGTTGAATCTGCATTTCCCAGTAGGGCCATGTGCGCATACTATAACAGCAAAAGTTAATGAACTTATAACTTTTACATAAAAAATTTTAACTATAGAATTTTTAGCTGTAACTATATAATTTTTTATAATTAAAAAAATATATATTATAATATTATTATTATATTTTTATAATTGTTAATTAATATATAAATTAAATTTTATACAATATTTTTGTTAAACGTTTGTGTGTGTGTGTGTATGTGTGTGTCAAAACAACCTGCCACTGCACAAAAAGTGTCTACATTTAGCTGGTGGCATGTGTTGATTTCCCACCCTGCTCTTCTCACTAATAGGCTTCTTTTCGCGTCCCTTTCCTCATGCTTCTGAGGTCATTATTATGATGATGAGCAAATTATTAAGCTTCACAATGTCAACAGTAGCAGCTATTAAGTGAGATTGCTGGATATCAAGTTAGCTGATTGTGGACATTAAAGTGCTACGATTAGAGTGATATCACAAAAGCAGCAAGGAGCAATCAAACTGGGGCAATCGTTATTTCAGCAAAGGCGGGTGGTGATTAAACCTACCGGGGTATTCTGGGATCATGCCAGGTGCTCACGCCAGTCTGTGTGTGCAGAAAATAGACTTGGCCTTGCACGGTGGTTCTTTGCTCTGCATTAGAAAAGAGAACAGACACGTCAAGAGTGAATGAGCCACAGCTAACCCAGATGCCAGTTTACACGTAACCTGAACGAGAGCCAGGGCTACTGCAACAGGATGCTGAGCTTCCAGTTCTCAGACGGCACACAGCTAGTGTGGCATGTCTAGTCTGAGATTTAATTACACTGGCGCCGTCCACTGGTTATGGTAGAGGACTCGACCACAACACCAACAGGGTCAGGCAGGGTTACACTCCAATGAGGGGCTTTACCACAGCCGATCCACCTGTGTAATGCGGGCCAAAGTGCCAGAGTGAATAGACTCCTTTCAGAGCTCAGTCTCTCCAGTTCAATGCACTTTAGTAGCCTCTACCCTGATCGCTAAGCTGTATTAGTCTCAATGGACTCCAGCAGTACTGTGGGTAAGAGATCAGGTATACGCACAGGGGATGTGCAAAACGACAGTTTTATAGTTAAATATTTATATAAATCTGTTTATACCTTATTGCACAAAACTGACAAGCCCTCAAAAAAAAAAACCACTGGCCTGCAGATTATACATAATGACAGGAAAATTGCTCACACCAGGCAAGTTGAAGTGTGCTGAAAAAAGTGAATTTGTTATAAAAGTAGTGCTCTGATGGCAGTACCAGTTTTGTGTTTTAAAGCACAGATACAAAATAATAAGCTAAAACAATCAGATCGGCTACATTTTTACTAATCGACCATCCTGACCTATTTCTAACGTTCTATCTTACCATAGCCCTCAGGGAGGTCAGGGGATTGGGGTCCGTGTGGTCTGTTTTGGGGGGTGTGTGCATGCCCTCTGGAATCTTGGTTTCTGATGCGTTGTGCTTGGAGCCGTTGCTCCTGATTGGGCGACTCAAGTGCACGGCAGTTGCCCCCACCAGCGGCTCCTGTAGGATCTGTGTATGGCATGGGCTCCTCCATGAAGCAGCTGAGAGGTCGCCCGGGTCCCGAGTCTTCAAAGACAGGCCTGAAACATACACATACAGAGCAGTTGTTAAAACACATACAGCCACACAAACATTTCAATGGGTCTTGGTATTGATGATCAAAACAGTGATGAACTGTGAAACTAACAGATCTTTAGGAAGCTCAAATAAAGTGCTTTATCTGGGCAGGTAGCCAGTCCATGCTAAAAAAAAAAAAAACAAACAAAAAAAAACCCCATCCTCTAAGACAAACAGTTGACTCACCCTTCATTCTCTACCAGTCCTCTACAGTCGACCACAGGCCCTCCACTGCCAATTCTGTCTCTGGTCTGCAGACTCACTACAAAAATGAAGTAAATGGTTAAAGAAAAGTCATTTAGTTCGAAGAATCTTCATTTAGTCAAATACTGATTCAGCAATTTTATTTTTCATAAGTTTGATAGTAGACATTTGAATTTAGATACATCAATGACAAGAAAATACAAAAAACAAACAAATAATGCTTTTCTCTGAACTAACTTCACTTTAGTGAGCCCAATTTCATCAAAGCAGCACTATGTAACTTTTTCTGTGTTCAAAATTTGCAAAATGTATATAATGAGCGAGTACATCATGAATTCATCTTCCAAACCGCGTTTTTGTCTTATTCCGAATCACTACGGTACACTTATAATAAGTACTTATATTTGGACTATTGTAGCCTGGTCGGGTCGTCACCGCTGCGGAGTAACACATACCTGCGTGAATCGCCATAGACATAAACTTAGAGAAGTAGCTCTGGTTGGAATGTTCTTCTGCGGGATGTGTGCAGTTCTGTTTATTAACTGCTAGAGCGCTAAAAGTTACATAGTGCTGCTTTAAGCAGCACAATAGTTCCAACACTGATAATAAATCAGCTTATTAGAATAATTCCTGAAGGATCATGTGACACTGAAGACTGGAGTAATGGTTAATGAAAATTCAGCACTGCATCACAGAAATAAATAACATTTTAAAGTATATTAAAATTGGAAACCAATATTAGAAATTGCAATAATATTTCACAATATAACCGTTTTATTTTTCTGATACATTTGTATATATTTTTGTCATTTTAGGGTGAAATATGACTTTTTCTTGACACTTCTTCGTAAGATTAAATACCCCGTCAATTCTTAGGGCTGTTTCAGGTCAAAGAGAGGTAATTTTCACACAAAATGCACATAAAATGTCCTCTAGAATGAGGGAGGACATGAATGAGGTCGGTTTAGTCATAAAATGTTTCACGATGCAGAGACTTGCGATTCTCCAGACAGCTCTTTGTCACAGGCCACATCTTTGGAATGCTGGGAGACGAAATGAGCTGATTGGATGTGTGGGTGAGAGTGGGCGTGTCCTCGAGTCATATCGCCGATGGTTAGATGTCATTTTTTTTGTGGAGTTTGTTGTGACATAACTGTGAAAACATCTGTTTATCAAAGTTCATAATTACCTCTTTGCCCAGTACGCTGATAGATGACTAGTATCCTGACTATTGTTTTGGGAGCTTTGGTTGTCAGACATGTCAGGGTGTCTGTCTGTTGTTGTCAATCACGGATAAATTACAGTGTTTGCATCCCATGGAAAGGCATGCTTGAAGACAAACGTCTGAGCATGTCTGTATTTATTCCGGAATATACTTTTATTACAGAGGGTGGTGTAGTTTTGGTTTACATGGCCTTTGATAGCCATTTGGGCAACCTCTTCAATTGTGGTTTGCAACGGTTCTTTGAAACACAAAGTCTCTTTTTAGCTTTGTTGCTTTAGATGGTTGTCCTGGTTTGCCCTTCATGTGTGCTTTGGGTCGGTGTTTGTTTTAAAGCATTAAGTTTAATTTGAAATCAGAATGGATTTGTCTCTGTTGTTGTAATCTTGTCGAAATGCAATAACTTGCTTTTGCCCGTGTTACAGGTTTCCTTGTCTGCTAACATTTACATAGGCTGCACAGGCTGTTTACTAATAGACAAATAGTTGTTTAGGCTTAAACTACTGTTACTGTCATGTAATAGATGGAAAATGACTTGCAAATTCAATTTCATATTGATTTTTGAAAATGTAATCTTTGAGTACAAAGTGAAGAAAAGCTGGTGTAATGCATTTTAGGAAAACTTTGCAAGCATTATTTATTTGTTTGCTTGTTTACCTTCCTACCTACCTTGCAGGAAAACAGATTGAAAATAGAATATACAGTTCAGCTATATATTGCAACTGCCAGTATATATTGTCATTTGCACTGGACACTGTTCATTTCCTCTGCCATTTCCTGGAATGGATAACTCTTGTAAAACAGCCTTGTTGTGCTATTTTCTTCTACATTTTCTCTCTAAATGGCTATCTGTAAGCAGGCCACTGTGCAAAAGCAAACCATCGCTGTCACAGGAAGTGGTGTATAGGCTCAGGAAATGCAGACTCATGGGGAGGTCACAGATGGAATGCAACTATTTTTCCTGCCTAGTCAAACTAACCTAGATGGTCCAGTTTAGGCCAGATGTTCTTGAATACAGTGCTTATCTTGAGTACAGTGATGGTATTGGATGGTAATAACCATGGTGCTTTGATATTTGGAGCCCAACACCCAACACCTTATTTATTCAACTCTGTGATTGTATGATTACCATGTTCATGTTTATGTGATGCTTTAGGGTACATCAAAGTAGCATTTTAAATGTTTTTGTTAATTGTTAATACAAGAAGAATGAGACAAAGGGAAAAAAATTAAAAGCATAGTTGGAAAAGGTGTTTTTAAGGTCTGATTTGAGTGTTTAAGACTTCATTAACCAGAACCCCCCCCCAATCTGATACATTGCTATTCCACATGTTTGAGTCACATGTGTCTGTTCAAAATTATTTGGACAACCATCAGGTATTAATTCACACTTACAGCTGCAACATTCCATTCAGACTGACAAAATGGGATTTGGAGCCAGAAAGAACCGATTTAATTCCCATGAGTCTTGTTGTGTTTGGCACAAATATCTGTCTGTCTGTTAGACTGCCCTTAGTTAACATTTTAAGCATTGCAGTGAAATGAGTCATTTTTATGAATGAGCTTAAGCAAATTCTTTCTCTACTTTTCTGTCTGCAGAGCTTTTAATGCTGCCGGAGGAGAGCAGAAGGTAAGACAGTTGCCATTTTTCTCGTGTCGGACAGAACTGCGAAGCTTTCGCAAGACCACTCAACCAGCTCCTGATATCTGAAGAAACACATTTAGATCGGTTCTCAAGTTCTCAGCTGCTTTGAATACAAACATTTTTGACACACATGGCAAATATATTTAACTTTCTAAAGAAATATTTAATGAAAATTATTAACATGTAAAAAAACATGTAAAGGTTAAAAAAAAGTTTAATAACCAATCAGATTATTATTTCATTATGAAAACTGAAACAAAACTATAAATTAGAATGGAAGAAACTGCGCCCTCATGTGGCTGCAAAAGCCCATAGCACGGGTCTCTGCAGCAGTGCCTGTTATAATCCTAGTCATATCAGTTTATAGTTTTACTTTCAACCCAGTCAGAAGCAGAGTGCAACTGAAATGAAGGAGGACCTTTAGCTGTACCTTGGCCTGATCTCAAGATAAATATTTGTGACCAGGGTGTGTTCGCACTTCTCAAACAATCCCCCTCCACTCTCACTATGCTCACAATTTGCTGTGAGAACACATGAAGACTATCCACATCATCTTTCCCCCCCGATAATCCTCTCATTTGGAAAGGATTAAGCCTTAAAACCATGTCTGGGATTGTGCATTTACCTGTGGTGCCACTAGTGTGTGTGCATGATTTGACCTGCATGGTGTTGCATTTGCACTGTCTTTTTCCAAACTCAGGATTCACTCACACCTGCATCCAGTCAGCCCAAGTACTCATTTGCACCGAGCACGACCATAAACAAGATGGCGCGGCCGTTCTCCGCAGCCCCTGGCAGTGCCAGCAAGGGGCCCGTCATCAAGCCAGTGTCATACGCCTCCAAGCTTAACTTCAACTCACCGCAGCCTCACAATGGGTAGGTGACCAGCCAGCCAGGTCTCCGACAGAGACTCAGCCTCATATCCTGTCTTTAAAGTGAGCTTTGATCGCCACGGTGCAGCCCCTGGCAGTGCCAGCAAGGGGCCCGTCATCAAGCCAGTGTCATACGCCTCCAAGCTTAACTTCAACTCACCGCAACCTCACAATGGGTAGGTGACCAGCCAGCCAGGTCTCCGACAGAGACTCAGCCTCATATCCTGTCTTTAAAGTGAGCTTTGATCGCCACGGGACATGCTTGATAAGCTTAGTCCACAATAATGAGCTCATCATTCCCAAGGCTGCATGTTTTTCGTGATGCAGCAATACCTGATGGGTAAAAACGCCTGCAGAATCCCGCCGTTGTCTGGATTGTGTCTCTGAAAGTTTAAGTCTGTGTTGCGTTCCTACATAGTGAGGCAGGAGAGTCTGGCCTTCAGTGTTTTTTTTGGATTTATTGTGTGTGCTTGTAAGAAACAACATGGCGTTAAGCAGCTGTGTCTGTTTTCCTTGTTGGAAGTAACAGGCGGTTGCATCGCCACCCCGGTGACCAGACTGTTCTGGGATCCATTCGAACAGGCCGTCTTCATCTGTTTTCCTCTTTGTCATCCCTATGCGGGGACGTTCTGCACATTTTTTTTCCGCCGAGGTCCTGAATTTTAACGAGCACTTTTATTTAAGATGATCAAAACAACAGATGTTAGCAGTCAAGTCCTGTGGAGTCGGAGGCAGTAAAATTGTGTTGGTTTTTAACGTAAACACTTGAAGGATTCTGTGAAGGTCTAAGGTTTTGATCTGTCCGGGTCGAGAAGGTTGAAATCCGTCTTTAGGCCAGGACTTGATGTTGTCTGTTGCTGTTTATAGAGTCGAGACCCTCCCATAAAATCTGCTGAGCCCTCAAAGTGCCGTTACGGCCCCAGTGCTGAATTACTTAAGAGCTTTACTTGGAAAGGCTCCTGTACGAATCCACCTTAACACAAGTTTCCTCACAAACAAATTGCATGAAGGAGATGTTTTATTCAAAAAGATGTCCTCTTTGTTTTATTCAAAAGGTGAAAAAACTAAGACTTGAACTTGAACATTTTCTGCTAAGAACCAGAATAGAAAGCTCTGAAGTTTTGGAGTGTGTAGTGGAGGAAAGGCAGGTGAATTAGAGATCGGCTGCTGGAGTGTTGCGAGTGTGTTTGCAATCCAGCACTGTGTGTGTATGTGTGTGTGATTTCCAGAAAACATGGCGTCACGTCAGCATTCTGAGCATGTTTACAGCACCGCACACCTACAAGCTTGTTTTTACGACTGTTCACTGAGGGGCAATAGTGCTTGCAGTGTTGATGGAATGATACCAACAAAAAAATTTCAAATTAAAAGTATTATATTCTATTCTATTTTATATAAGTGTGTGTGTGTGTGTATGTGTATATATGTACAATATGTGTATATATATATATGTCATTTATTATTGTCATGACAGCTGAATTTTCAGCAGCCATTACTCTGGTCTTTATCTTGAGAAATTGTTCTAGTATGCTGTTTTGGTGCTCAATTATTATTGCTGCTCAGTTATTAATAGTGGTTCTTATTATTAATGATGAAAACCATCTTTGCCAAATTATGTTGTGAAAACTGTGATAGTTTTTTTTCTGGATTCTCTGAATAGAAAACTCAAATGAACAGCATTTATTTGAAAGATATTTTTGTTGTAACATAAATGACTTTACTGTCACTTTTGATCAAATTAATACATCCTTACTAAATAAAAATTATGAATTTCTTTTTGTTTTCTTTTTCTTTTCTACCTCCTAACTTTGGAATGGTAGTGTATCACAGTTGCCATAAAAAATATTAAGCAGCAAAAAGTATTTTAATTCTATTTTTCTGCTGAAAATTGTGCAATTACTGGAATAAATTACATGTTAAAAGAAATTAAAATATAAAACCATTAAAAAGTAAATTATAAAAAAAGTAAATAATATCGTTTTTTTTCCTTTACTTTTAGATGTGTTGTGGATATATATATATATTTATTTATTTTTAATTCCCAGGCCTAGACCGTTGTGTAAATTTAATAAAATATAAAAAAACATTACTTTTTCATGATGTTTTCTAATGAATAGATTTCTCTTCTACTTGCTCAACTTTAAAATATTTAATGAGTCATTGACTAGAAATCAAAATCTCTGTAAAATGATTTTATCCAGTAGTCACAAATGACTGGAAAAATCAAAAATCATTGGTCAAAATTTTGGGAAACATGTATTTTGGGTAATGTTGGTTTTGTGCTATGAACAGGGACGGATTAACGCGCGTGCCCAGGGCACTAGACCAGAGGGGGGCCCAGCTGAAATACTGCTCCTCCAGGAACGCGATTTCAACCATGCCCCCTCAGGATTTTAAGCAAAGTAGATTTTGAATGCAGCTTCTAAAAGACCAAAAATGGCTGAATAATATATCTTTTTATATTTGATATGATTAGAACGTTCAGTGCGGCACAGAATCAGCTGCCGAATTCAAATCTGCATTCGTGCTTTGGCTGGTGTTGAGACAGACGCGTTTTTACAGTGCTGTGCATTATAACCAATCACACAGGATTCTGTTGAGCTTATGAATGCAATGGCCAATCAGAGGCATTCAGATGAGCGATCGCTGAAAAGCCCGTGTTTTGTTCAGTGCGCGCGCTCGCTGACTGAATGCTGCTCTCTGGCGAATTCTCTCATCATGAACAAAGTGCAGATGTGTGTACGATGTAAGTAAGATATTCATTTCACAGTATAAACAGCTTCAGTGATTATAATGGGAGTTGTTGAGAGTGCTTGAACTCTGTCTAGACTGAAGTTAATATTCTTTGATAATGCAAATGTTATTTGCTCTCTTTATGCACAATGAAAGTGTTATAATTAGTAACTTGCAATGTTTTTATTAAATTTACCTTAAATACAAAGTCAGTCGTATTAAAAATAGGCTATTCTATGACATGACACCCATATCTAGTACAAGTTAAAAGATGGGTTTTATGCATAGGCTTGTTAATAGATTAGACTAATATTAGGCTACTTTTCCCAGAGCCCATTATAGATAAACTAACATGATCTATAAAGGTGCAAAATGCATTTACTTATATTTGAGAATCGGGATATTTTATGATATAGTTAACAAGTTTGGGAAAATTTTGAATAAAAAAGGAACAAAATTTCAACCGAGGGGGGGCCTTTAATCCCAGGGCACTGCTGTGTCATAATCCGTCCCTGGCTATGAAGCCTACCTCAGTGTCAGTTAGATCTAGTGGCTGTAATGTTTGGATGAAGGTTCAGAGATGCTTTTAATAATAAAAGCACATTAAAAGAACAGAATCATTTAACTGATGATTTAATAGGAGGTACAGCTCAAGTTTTCAAGTTTTCCGTGGTGTTACTTAAAGCACACTGTGATTCTTTTCCCCACTAAAACCCCACAATTTGCTTTGTTTGCGTCTGCATCCTGTCTTTCTAAATGCTGTTGATTCTTCTCTGCATTTCTGTGTGATTTATTTCTAAACTATTTTCTTTCTTTTTTTTGTTTTTGTTTTACGTCCGTTGTCATTCTACAGATGGAAGTTCTTGACAAGTTAGTAATGCCTTTCCTTATTTCCCTCCTGTTCTGAGAAATGTGTGCAATTATTGTTTTTGGCTATCAAATCCCAGCCCTGTGGCTCTGCCTCTATCCGTTTTCATATGTTTTTTTTTTTCCTAAATTTAATTTATCTTTCCCAATTCCCAAGCCTGCATTGTTGCAGCACTGGCTTTAGGAGACGGCAGATTTCTCACATCTAAGCTGCCGTCTCGCTCTGTAATTATTCACTAAGGGATTGTAAATGTACAGCTTTATTCCAGCCAGCGTTGATATTTCAGACCGCAGTGGACAGCCTCCATTCACTCGGTCTAAAGCCAGGCTGCTTTAATGGACACTGTTGTGTTCTTTGTTGTTCTGCTCCCACTCTTCCTCTCTATTGTTATTTGTGCTCCTCATCCTGTTTTTTCTGTCTTCCTTCACTCTGCCGTTCATTAGAGGAGAAGCCTTCTATGAGGAGTTGTACCCTGAGGGGAAGTAAGTGCTGAATGCTTGTGGCTCTAATGCTCTTGCTGAAAGAATGTAGACCTGCTGCTGACCTCACTAATAAACTCTTGTGTTCAACGATATCAGACCGTGTTTCATTGCTTTTTCACTCGGTAGTTGAACTGTATTGAAACGCGGCACTTTAGCTGGGTCGTTTGAAACTATTAGCAAATGTAGTCGTGCACTCTGAGTGACTTCATTAGAGCATGAAGCAATGATGTGGAGCCTGAACTGAAATCACATTTCGTGGGTGTTTTGATTTATTATTTTGTGTGCATGTAGTTATGAATCTGATGTGTGAAAACGGGGTTTTCAACCTTCTCAGACCCAGGGACCCTCACCAGACTCTCAGCCAGCCCACGGACCCCAGTAAAACTAATAATAATAATTATCTGCAATATTGTTAAATAACTTTAATGAGGACTGTTAACATTACTACATTATATAATTTAATGATAAAATTAATAATGATTCTCTGTGTAATTTTTCAATACTATTTAAGACAATTATACATTTAGCAGATGTAAAGCGACCTTCAATGGAGAAACGTATCATGACAGAGCCAACAATATGTAATGTGAATGTTTATTAGAAAGCTGTAGAAGGAAATAAGCTAGAGCACTGTTAACATTACATCATTAAATGATAAAATTAGTAACCATTAAATAATTTTAATAAAAATAAAATTAATAACTATAATTAACAAAAGCAAATAAAATGGATAAAGAAAATAATAAACTTTGTTTATATACATTAATTGTTACTTTTTATTTTTTGGTTAATTAAAAATAATATATATATTTTATTTACTTAATGTACGTATTTGCTTGTATTTATTTGCTTATTTCCTTTCCTTACTAATCAACTTAATGTAGTTATTTTTTGCTGTAATTTAATTAATAAAAATAATTATACATATATAATATTAATAGCTATAATTAATTTAAAAATTTATTAATTTATTATTAAACCATAACAAATTTTAAAGAAAAAAAAAATCCTCCTTTCAGGCCCCCTGGTTGAAAACCCTAGAGCTAAAACATCACCTTACAAAATGTACAGTGCTAATCATAGTTTCTGCAACATAAAAAATATAGTTACTCTAATAGATCTGTGATAGCTTGGCGTAGTAGCAACAATACCTGTAGCAACTGTTGTATTTTGTCAGAAACTTTGGTTACCATGGTAAGATTTTGTAAGGGAATTCATGTACCCCAGTGTTTTTTTTCCTCATGTACTGCACGTTCCCTCACTGTGTTTGGCATAGTCGTCTCTTGCTGTGCTGCACGCATTACGTGAAGCCATTCGCCGATGTTTTTTTTTTTTTTTCGCGGTGTGCTGTTGTGCTGCTGTGGTGAATGAGAGAGGTCACGAAGGACTCATGTCTCCAGGCACGGTCTGCGGGTGGAAAACATGGCCTGCTTCATCCCCAACGATCGCAGTAAGAAGAGACTGATCGAGGATACGGAGGATTGGCAGCCACGCACCGGCACCACCCAGTCTCGCTCTTTTCGAATCCTGGCCCAGCTCACAGGCACTGACTTCAGTAAGTCAGACACGTTCAGACTGCAGCCTGTCAGCGCCGTATACTCCTCTCAGAGCAGTTGTGTTTCTCATTTGGGGTATTCAGCATAAGCTCATCTGTGTCAACGGGTTTCTTTGGAAAGATCATTTCTCAGAGACTCAGTATTTTGTGAAGTAATGTGGAAAAAAGACATTCCTAAGAAGGGGTGGGAGTTAGGACCAAAATCTTCAGTTAAACTGGTAATTTTTAAAACTTTTATTGTCTCCTTGTATTTGAAACGTAATTGACACAAACCAAAAGAAATTTTATTTTATTTTATCTTAATTTTTTTTACTTAATTGACAAACCGAAAGAAGCTTATTCATGATGAAATGTTTTGTTTTGTTTTTACTTAAGTTGAAATAATAAATGAGTAACATTCAGAGTCATTGTAAAATAGCTGGTTCACGCACGCCTATGAACTTTACAATTTTTATGCTAAAATTATATTCATTATAATTTCATGTTACTGTTAGTTAATTGGATTAACAAATGTTGCTGTATAAAATTATATTCATTATAATTTCATGTTACTGTTAGTTAATTTGATTAACTAATGTTAATGCATCATAAAGTTAAGGGTAGAAGCGACGCATTGCTAAGAATAAGAAAAAACTACTCCGTGAAGTTGTCAAAGTAATCTTTATTTTTCGACTTTGTGTCAGATTTTTTACAATTGCGTTATGTATTTACTGTGGTATAAACCGGTCTTCCGGTTGACACACATTTTTAGTGTCACAGTATATACAATTGTAGCTCCCAGCCCTGTTCCTGAGTTCCTAAAAAAACTCCCTCTCCTAAATCCCATCTTTACTTGGTGGCAGGGACTAATCTGAGTGTAGGAGGGCATGAAAGCATGTCCTAGAGGACGCAACCGCTGATCTGATATCGAGAGTGAGATCATAAAGAAGTGGGAAATGTCGTCTATCTGTAGCTTAAAGGGTTATGGCTGAGTTTTTCTCCTTTATGGGATCTAGAGCCAGAGTGGCTTTGATTTGCTCTGGAGAGTTAGTGGTATGAAAGAGGTGTGAAGTCAACCATTGTTGCTGTACGTCTCACGGGATTGACTCATGTTAAAAGGTGATGGGGAGACCCTTTAAAAGCAGCGGTCTTCAAGTGTTTTGTAGCATTGTTCAGATATTAGCAGTAGATTTTCTATTGTGTTTATTGTGTCTAATGGTTGGTCTGATCTGTATCTCTCCTGATTCCTTCAGTGCAGGACCCGGATGATGAGAACATGAAAAGGTCCAGGTAAAGAACTGTGTGAACTTGCTAATGAAGTGCGGTTTGAAGCATTAAATCGCCGGCTCTGACCTTTTACCACCCTCATTATGAGATCACGGTGTTCAGCTCTCTGCGGAGAGACGCTGAAAATATGCTTTGATCCGCATTATGAGCTGTTGTCTGATCTGTGCATTTGCAGTATAGCTTCATACACCGAGTGCTGTGTGCCTTATAATCAGACCCTCACGAAATCCTGCCCTCAGATTTCTGCTGAATATAAATGCCTTTCTTGCATAACATACAGTTTCATCAATATAGTTCACACCGTGTCAGATACCAATTCGAATTCATTGATTTTTGATGGGAATGATGCCTCGGACAAATGCAAAGGTTTATGGGGTTCCATAACCCAAGATAAATTTTGCCATCCCATAAGGCCACAAGAGCAGAGGAGTTGTTAGATTTCAAAAGACTTTTAAGTACACTACATTTTGAAAGTTTAGAGTCAGCGAGATTTTTCAAAGGAAATGCAAACTTTGAGGAAGAATGCTTTAAATTGATCAAGAGTGACAGCAAAGGCACTTATTATATTACATAACATTTCTATTTTAAATAAACTCTGTTCTTTTGAAGAATCCTTAAAAATCAGATTTTTGCACACAAATGTTAAGCAAAACAACCCTGATAATAATAAAAAATGTTACAGGAATAAATTACATTTTAAAATATATTAAAATAGTATTTTTGTATTTTAAATAGTGATAATATTTAACAATATTACTGTTTTTACTTCAAAAAAATGCACCTTGGTGAGCAAAAGAGACTTTATATATATATATATATAAGTAAAATCCAGCCCCACACATTTGACTGGTAGTGAATAATGAAGTTGTTGCCTTCAAATGTGTATTTTCATTTTAAGCACAATGAATGTTTAAAGTTAAAATTAGAATTTTAAAGCTTTGATACCTAAAACAATCTGCACATCAATGAAAGCAAAAGAATTTGGACGCAGCCCAGTTGTGCTTTTGGAAATGCACTTTCCTATATTCCTACTTGATTTCATACCAAATCTTTTCTTTCCACACCCTTAAAAAAGCATCTTGTGCATTGCTTTCCATCAAAACTCTCTCTCTTGTGTGCAAACGCCCTTAAAACTTTTGGCTCATTAGATTGTGCTGCCAGTACGCGTGTAGTACTCTCAGCTCCAAATCCATTTAGCAGGTTTTTCATTCAAATCAAAACAGAAAATGTGAGGGAAAAAAAGTCTGCAGATTCTGCCTGGGCCTGGTTATCTACAGATACACAGATTTTTATTTTATTTTTCTGAATTCATCACTACTTGCATATGTTGCATCTTTTATTACTTCTTCTTTCCTTTCTGTTTTCTGTTCTCTCAACTTCATACTCATTCCCTTCTTTTGTCTTTGTGTATGTGGTGGCATGTCTTTCTCTCCTTCTGATTTGTCCTCACCGCTCTCCTAATTTCCTGTCCTCTTTGGTGTACTGAATGGCAGGGAAAAGTTCCTCTCTGAGATTCAGAGTCCCCGCTATGCCAGGCTGAGAGACTGGCATCACGAGAGATCCGCCCGTGCCCTCAACATCAAGTCCTGAACGCTCTGCCTCCCGGGCATCAGACGGCCGAGGTAGCCGAGATGAAGCCACACTAGATACAACGTGCCACCGTGTGCCAGCTATGGGTGAACACCGACCCCAGTTATACCAGGACAAAAAAAAAAAAGGGATTGGGGGGGTTGTCAAGTTAATGAGCCTTTGGAAAAATCATGTAAATGAATAAAATGTTAAAACACCATAAGCATTTTTATTTAAAAAAAAAAGAATATACTTTTTGTTGTTCTTGTTATGCCAAGTTGTAATAAGAATTCTCAGTGAAAAAAAAAACTGTTAAAAACACATGTTTTTATTTACAATTAAAGCAAAAAAAAAAAACACCCATCCTGTATTTTAACTTGCATATAAATACATGGCATGAAGTAGTTTTAATCTCATCTCTTTGATCAGGAGTGTACTTTCCATCCAGGATGTAGATGTCAGAGGTTGTGTTGTGTAGCTTAATAACATTTTCATTGGCTAAAGCGGTTTTATCAAGGCATGTGTACTGAAGGGAAATTTTCTTTCACAGTCACGGAGTAACTACCTGTCCTGCCAAGTCCAAGCCAGCAGACAAACCTGATGAAGTTCAAGGTAAGTACTCTCAGAACAGACAGAATAGATTGACTCTCACAGTACTCACGGCCCAGACTTGCTCCCACGGGGAGGACTTAACTCCCATAAAACACAGACTTGTTCACAGAGCGGCCCGGCTGGCTCAGACAGGCCTGTTGTTAATGGGAAAGTAAGACATAAGTGGCACTGATGTGTTTATAGTCAAAGATGATAATATGAGTCAATTATCACTCTCTTGAGATGTGGTTTATATAAGCTGAATTAAACCATAAGCCACTCCTAATGCTCTCCTCTCATGGTGTTAGCAGCATCTCGATAGATGTCTTCGTGTTATAGGTTGGTCCCTGGATAAAAGCAAGCCATTTTAGACTACAATTGCACTGGTTTTAATAGCAGCCCATGAATGTACACACTTGTAACAGGTCTCTGTTGGCCCATAGTGAGGAAGTGCTGAAAAAATATATGTACTGAGTTTCATTTTTTTTTTAGCGCCTGCTAAAGCACCAACGAATTCTGGTCCAGCCTGCCGGCCGCCATGGGTATCGGATCCTGGTTTCGCAGACCGTTACCATCCAGACAAGACCAGCACGGTGGTGACGCAGCACCAAAAGCCTGTCCAACCCACTCCCATGCAGAACCGCAGCTCCATCATGCAGGCAGCACAGCAGAACCCCGCCGACTCCAGCGGCCGCACACCGCTCTGCGCCGCATGCAACAAGATCATTAGGTACGGCTGGAACTCTACCGCCTCTGGAGTCTAACTTCAGCACTGACTCAAAATTTGCAGTTAAAGGAATAGCTCACCCAGAAATCAACATTTGCTGACAATTTACTCTCTCTCAATACATCCAAGATGAGTTTGTTTCTTCATCAGAACAGATTTGGGGAAATGTAGCATTACCACGGAGTAACTACCTGTCCTGCCAAGTCCAAGCCAGCAGACAAACCTGATGAAGTTCAAGGTAAGTACTCTCAGAACAGACAGAATAGATTGACTCTCACAGTACACACGGACTCACGGCCCAGACTCGCTCCCACGGGGAGGACTTAACTCCCATAAAACACAGACTTGTTCACAGAGCGGCCCGGCTGGCTCAGACAGGCCTGTTGTTAATGGGAAAGTAAGACATAAGTGGCACTGATGTGTTTATAGTCAAAGATGATAATATGAGTCAATTATCACTCTCTTGAGATGTGGTTTATATAAGCTGAATTAAACCATAAGCCACTCCTAATGCTCTCCTCTCATGGTGTTAGCAGGTGCCGTCAGAATGAGAGTCCAAACAGCTGATAAAAACATCACAAAAATCCTCACAACCCCAGTCCATCAGTTAACATCTTGTTAGAAACAAATCCATCCAGAAGTTTTTTTTAACTTTAATTGCTTCCAGCTAAAATATGAGTCTTCTGTCTATCATAATGCTCTCTACAGTGAAAAGGTCATATTGTCTGAATAAGGAGAGAAATATGTACAAATTGAAACCATTCCAAAACAGTTCTAAACAGTTAGTCATGTTTGAATGATTTGTTTATAACAAACAGCTTTTCACTTCAAAAATTGATGGACTGGAATCGTGTGGATTGCTTGTGGAGTATTGGGATGTTTTTATCAGCTGTTTGGACTCCTCATTCTGACGGCACCCATTCACTGCAGGGGAGCCATTGATGAGTAAGTGATGTAATGCTACATTTCTCATAATTGATGGACTGGAATCGTGTGGATTGCTTGTGGATTATTGGGATATTTTTTATCAGCTGTTTGGACTCTCATTCTGACGGCACCCATTCACTGCAGGGGATCCATTGATGAGTAAGTGATGTAATGCTACATTTCTCCAAATCTGTTCCGATGAAGAACCAAACTTCATCTAGATCTCAAATGGCCTACATGAGGACATATCCAGCAAATCGTTTCAGTCAATTTTGGGTGAACTATTTCTTTCGAAATCCCAAAGCTGACCACTGCAGACAGCCCAAAATACCTCCAAATCAATGATGACTGTGCGCTAAATGTCATTACTTACAAAACTGAGAGAAAACATGGGGAGGGAAAAAAGGTTGTCAAACTTTGTAAGGCAGCAATATTTCTTAAAATGCGCCGTGCACAGAAATAGCGCCATGTCCTTGGGCTTTCTACCATGGAGAATCAATATGGAATGGAGTAGGTTTCTGCGTCTGACCTAATATTTCCATTAGAATGGCTTTTGCACACTGAACACTTAAGAGCGCTAAACCCAGCTGTTGATGCCCCAGCTGACCCTTTCACTTCAGTGCAAAAGCTTTTGTTGTAAGGCTGTGTTTGTGTGTCCGTGTTCTAGAGGACGCTATGTGGTGGCGCTTGGACGTTCCTGGCACCCAGAGGAGTTCACGTGTTGTCAATGTAAAAGGGTGCTGGATGAAGGGGGCTTCTTTGAGGAAAAAGGATCCATTTACTGCACCAAATGCTATGACAACCGTTGCTCACCCAACTGTGCCAAATGCATGAAGAAGATAACTGGGGTAATTGCATTTCCTACTGTTCTGCAACAAAAACACACTGCAGTTCTTTACTGATTGATTCAAAATGAGTAGTGGAAAAGTTTATAAAACCATTAAGGATGCTGGTATAATTTTTTAATACATAATCGTTCTAAAGTTTGGGGTCAGTATAATTTAATGTAGTATTATTTTAAAGAAAATAGATATTTTATTCAGCATGGATGAATTCATTTGATTAGAAGTGATATTTAAGACTTACATTTTTACAAATAAATGTTGAAATTTCCATTCATTAAAGGGGTCATATGATGCGATTTCAATTTTTCCTTTCTCTTTGGAGTGTTACAAGTTCTTGGTGCATAAAGAAGATCTGTAAAGTTGCAAAGACTAAAGTCTCAAATCCAAAGAGATTTTCTTTATAAAAGTTAAGAGTCAACCATGCCTACCTAAAACGGCTCATTCTAACACGCCCCCACATGTCTACGTCACAATGTGGGAAGATTTGCATAACGCCACCCAAATGTTCACGCAAAGAAAGAAGGCGTGACTTTTATTCTCGCTGTAGTATTGTTGTTGCCGCCGCTGCCATGTCGTGAAGGCACTGTGTGTTTCCTTGTGAAAGCGAAACTACTTTGTTTGGGCTTCCAAAAGAGGACGATATCCGCTTCGTCATGCCTGGAGCTGATCCGTGCTGGTCGCTGAGGAAATACATCAACTTTGCGCTGTGGATCGCTGGATCGGCTTTCACC